GACGAGTTGCTCTTTGTTAGGGATCGTGCTCTTGGGGTTTTGCGGGTTTAGGTTTAGGGTTTTTGGGTTTGGGGTTTAGGGTTTAGGAGAGTTCAGGGTATCCAGCTTCTATAATTATAGGTTCCCCAGTAGTACCCTTTTGCCCTCTTTCTTTCTGGGGTTCCCTATTAAAACCAAGTAGTAGGAAAAGGGTACCTTATCATTAAGGGGCTACTGGGGAACCTGGTCAAGGAAGTCTAAAAAGGTTTCTATGAGGCTTACTTTCCGGGTACTTTCGGCTTTAAGGCGTTTGAGGCTTCCAGCTTTTAGGCTTTACAGGTTTCTGCAGGGTCTTCCCTAAACCCTAAACCCGAAACCCTAAACCCTAAACCCTAAACCCGAAACCCTAAACCCTAAGTTGGGGGGGTTTTGCAGCCGTTGCAGGGGGATGCCGCTTGCCTGAGATCGCTAGACTCAGACCTTTTGGGACTGTCAGCTGAAGCTCTTCATCCTCAGCCAGGGTTTCGGGTTTGGGGTTTTCGGGTTTAGGGTTTAGGGTCTTGGGGTCTGGAGTTTAGGGACTTGGTTGGGTTTCAGGGGTGGTTGGCATTTTAAACCCTAAGCACCCTAAGCCCTAGTGCCCCTCCCTTGCTTAGGGGTATGGGCCTTACGGGTCCTATCTTTGGGTTTAGGGTTTAGGGTTTAGGGTTTAGGGTTTTCCATGTTCAGATCCCTTACTTTCTGAGACTCTGACCCGAACCTTCAACAGCTTAAGCCATAAACCCCTAATGTAGGGGGCCTAAACGATTACCTATGCTATTTGCGGGGTTCCTTATTATACTATAGTATAATATACACCAAAACCCTATTCTAATCCTTAAGGACGAAAAGATCCCCAAAAGGGTTTAAGGCTTATATACCATATCGGGATTCATAGTAGACCGGTAATAAGACCCCTACTTTTATTGGTCATTTTGGTCTTCAAGGATTATTAAGACCCCTATCATGCCTATAATAAACCCTAAACCCTAAACCCTAAACCCTCAGCACTACAGCCGCAGAGCCGCCGTCCTTGTGCTAAGCCCGGGCCACTGACCCCCTAGTGACAGGTTTAGGGTTTAGGGGTGTGGGGTTTATAGTGTTTAGGGTTTAGGGTTCAGGATTTTAGGGTTTAGGGTTACATGTTTAGGGTTTAGGGTTCAGGGTTTTAGGGTTTAGGGTTTAGGGTTTTAGGGTTTAGGGTTTAGGGTTTCACGTCTAGTGGCCCGGACGTCAGGGAGTGGGTTCACTGTCAGATTAGCGGAAACACATGGCAAGAATGCACTACAAGAGCCTTGGGGTCCGTTATAATTACTAAGCTTATACTAAGGACTGTAAGGGGGCATGATTACTATCTATTCTTACTCCGACCCCTCTATGATGGTTTGGGGCCTAGGATCTAGGCTCTACGGTTTAGGGAAGCCAGGGTAGGGGTCTATGAAGAGCAGAATGAGCAAGTTTGACAGGGCAATGCAACAAAAGACTCAAATGCTGTAAGGATCCATGGTAAGCATGAAGGCCATCATTATCACGGTCTTAACACCAACAAAGCTACTGTGGATCACTTGTAGCTTGAAGGATCCGAAAGCACTCACTTTGACCTAACATAGTGGCCCTTCATAACCAGTACCCTGAAGGAACATATTGGTAATTAACCTGAGCCCTATATTATAGCAAGCACCCTTATGGTAACCTATACTAACCCTAACCCTAAACCCTAAACCCTAAACCCTAAACCCTAAACCCTAAACTTTTCCGGCCCAAAAGAGGAGACCCTGAAGCCGAGACCCATGGAACCCTGCCGTCCTCAGCTCCGACAACCCTCATATAGGGGCCTTAACGATTACCTATGCGATTTTTTGGGGCTTCTTATTACAATCATAGTATAATATACCCCCAAACCGGTCCTTATTATAATCATATAGTATAATATACCCGCCAAACTTTATTCTAATTATTGGGGCCCCTAGATTACTGGGGTTAAGGTTACTACAAGGGTAGGACTGAGGGCTCTTAAGGGTTCTATGAGGGTTCCTGCAAGGGCACAAGGGCTTAGGGCGCTTAGGGTTCAAGGTGTCCAACAACCACCCCCGAAACCCAATCAACACCCTACGCTCTAGACCCCAAGAGCCTCATAACTAGAACCCCAAAGCCTAAAACCCTAAACACTAGGATCCATAAGGCCTATCACCCCTAAGCAAGGGATCCTCATCGTCAAGAAAACTGCATGCATTGAGGAAACGAAGTGGAGCAAAGAAGCTGTGGCGGGGTACCCCTTCAAGTGAAAAGCTGCCCTAAACCCTAAACCCTAAACCCGAAACCCGAAACCCTAAACCCTAAACCCTAAGCCCTAAACGAAAAGCTGCAGGAGAACAATGCCCTTCTCCTTCCTAAGGAATCAGCGGTCCCGACCTCGGGAGGCTTCAGGGTTTTAGGGCTTCAGGGTTTAGGGTTGACCGTTTAGAGGTTTAGAGTTTAGGGTTTAGGGCTTAGGGTTTAGGGTTTAAGGTTTAGGGTTTAGGTTTACGGTTTCAGGGTTTAGAGTTCAGGGTTTAGGGTTCAGCTCTTAGGGTTTAGATTCAGTTTGGCGGACTCAGGGTGCAGGATGGCAGGACTAGTCCTTAATGTCAGTATGATTAAAGTTCTGACTAAGTGAGTACCATTTTGATAAGTGTTGATGTTTTAAGGAGTTGCTGACCATTATGATTCTGCCCATTCTTCCTGTCCGCGTACCTGTCGTAGCATGCTTGTCATGATGAATTTTGGTTTGTCTCTTATACATCTTTCGGACTCCTAAGTGCAGCGACGAGCATCGCTGGTGGTGGTGTAGCACGTACCTCTGCTAAGAAGAGGAGCACATGCCACTGTGACAGCGCTTGTTCCACTATGTTATACTGTGGCTTGGTAGTGTTATGCTGAATTTTATCACCACGACTATTCGTGATTCCACACAGTCTTGTCTCACCTGGAATGCCCCGGGTCGAAAGAGCGCATCAAACTCCGAGGGCTTTGTTGAGAGAATGGCTCTTGGCCCTAAACTCTAAAACCCTCAACGCTAAAACCCTCAACCCTAAAACCCTAAACACTAAAACTAAAGCCCTAAACGCCTCAAGCCCTAAACCGCTACACCCCTCGACCCTATCTCTTGGGGTTCAGGTAACCGAATGTACTATGGGCTAATCTCCAGGTGCCTGGTTCTCATCATGTTGGTTCTCGTTAGCAATTAGGCACTGTCCTTGGTCTCGAGGAAGCTTGGAATGCCGCGATGCTTTTTTAGGGCGTAAGATTCGAGATTCTGAGGGTGTAGTGTCTCGGAAGAGTTTAAGCTTTGGTTTACGTTGGCGTTGACCTGGAGTTTTTGTTCGGGGTTCGGGGACTTATTCGGCTCCATGCGCGCACAGCGAATTTGCAAAAGCGTTACAGTAACCCTCACAGTAGCCGTTCCAGTGTTCCAACAAACCCTTACCAAACCCCTCAAGAATGAACACCTCTATGGACTCTTTTAATCGCCGCTTGTCATAACCCTTGTATTTGCTGACAAAACCCCACAGTAATTCTTACAGACCCTTAAACGCAACCTGCAGTAACCGTAGTAGCAGTAGTGGTGACTGTGACAGGTTTTATAATAGCCACAACAGGCATTTTTTGACCCCGACAAAACCGGGCCCATTATTTTAGCTCTTGCACATTGCAATAATGGACTTAGTAAAACCCTAGACCCTAGAACCCTTCTAGAACCATTTGCACTCCTAAACCCTAAACCCTAAACCCTAAACCACTCGGGGCTCTCCAAGGAGCTCTTTGACAAGATCTGCAAGCGAGAGAAGGTCTCCTATGCCATCATGGGAGCCGCGGAAGAATGGGTCATTGTAGAAGGCGTTGGGGTTTAAGGTTTAGGGTTCAGGGTTTAGGGTTTAGGGTTTAGGGTTTAGGGTTCAGGGTTTAGGGTTTAGGGGTTTAAGGTTTAGGGTTTAGGGTTTAGGGTTTCGGGTAGGAGATTGGATAAGGATCTTGCAAAGGTTGGGCTTCATATAGGCTCATAAACGTTTGGCAAAGTTGTGTAAGGGTTTTCATAGAAGTTAACGGTTATATCAGGGTTGGTAGGGGTTTTCTGAGGGGTTTGGGGTTGGGGCATTAATGGGTTAAGGGGTTCAGGGATTTATTGGTGGAGTTATTTCGGGTTTGAGGGTTTAGGGGTTTAGGATGTACGGTGCAAGGTGCAGGGTTTATGGGTGAGTGGTTTGTTATTCAATGTATCGACTGCTCGCTTCGGGTTTTGGGTTTTGCTTCTTGTTTCATCTTGCAGGTTGCACCGCTGAAGTGCCGGAAGACCCCAAAACCTGTTTAGGAACCGAGTAACCCCATACCCTGAACCCTGTTTATTCATCCTTACAGTAACCCTCAACCTTTGTAATGCTCCTTCTATCCCTAATCAAACCTTTTTTTCAGAACCCTTCTAAACCCTAAACCCCTAAAC